TGAACTCCAAGGCCCTCCTGGTCGATGACATCTCCAATTGACTAACGATCTCTTTTAAATCGTGAAAACTATTCGTAAATATTGCGTACAAGTCAGAGCATCATCTCCGTAAGCTTATTTCAAAAGTTGAAACGTTTCCGTGAAAGTTTTCCGCAGTTTTCCGCAAAATTTTATGTTGGATCGTTGCAGAAAATTCCACATTTCAGAAATCGTCACTAATACGTTGCACTCAAATAAAAATATCACGAAAACTAAATGAGATATCAACAACCCAAGAACATGTGGTTACAGAAGAGGTTATGTGCAACGCAATGCTGCCAACCGCACATCACTAAATAGCTCCATTAGTGCGTTCAAAGAGTTCTGTTAATTTCTTAACTAAGTATAAACGAAACAATTTTGTATAACGAACGATTTTATATTTCCACATATCTTATTTTGTGTTTCCAACTTTAACCATTACAATCTCTTATTATAATGACAAATAATAAAGTTACAAAACTCGTAAGCACTTCTTTTTTCGTTGTAAGGAATCACCATTGGACATAACGTTAATTACAGATAGCAAACTGAAAGCTCTTTTGCAGAATACATCCTCTGTGACTAGACTAAATCATTTGAAGAGGGTCTAGGACCCACGCAAACAACTGTAATTATCCGAAAGGCAGTAAAAAGGGATAGCGGGTCCTATAATCGCGGACGTAAGCATTCCTAACAAGAAATGAATGGCATCTGCGTCACGTTACTCATCTATCCCCTTGTGCAAAGAAAAGGTATGCCCTTTGAGGGCACATATTTGACTTTCTCTGAATTTCTAAAAGCCACATTTCTCTTTATAAACAAACAGTGGAAAATTCATGAAATGCGTCAGTGGAATTTGAAACACCTTGAGAGGCACTAATAATATTTTAAAAAATCAACAGCGTTAGAGACATACAGGGCGATAGTAAAATGGGCGAGGAATACTTACATCATAAATGTTTTTTTTTATCATTTTCGGATTCGGTGAAAAATTTTATTTTAAATAGGTGGGTTGGATGGCTGGTCTAGATTTTTTAATTTTGGGGGACAATTGAGGGTGTGTGGGGGGTAATCCACAAGTCAGAATTTTTTTTTAACATTTGCGGATCTAAAACAAAAATGTGTTTTTGTCAGCCTGTGTTATTTTTGGTGTTGCAATCTACAAAATTCGTTCTTTATGAAATTAAATTCTAAAAAAAGTATGTTTCTTTGTTGTGATATCTTTTCAATGAGGTGATTTTTGTTATATTAATTCTTTTTAATTTCCTACCAGACTCTAAAACTATTTGACCCTTTTTAGTTTTCAACGATGTAGAAAATGGTGTGTCCCTGCAAGTATATAATATTTTCATAATTCAATAATTTTTTACTATTCGACATATTATACAATCTTGTATAAAATACAAAAAAATAATTTAAGTTGTAAACTTGGTTGTAATTATCATCTTCAAAGGTTTAGTCTTACTTGGTTTGAAATTAATTTTTACGTCAATTTTAAATATTAAAAATTAAAGTTATCCAAATTTTCTAATCTACAAATAAATTATCTCTAAAATAGTATTAATAGAATTTTAAAGTGGATGCGATAATAGTCTAAAACAAGATTAAATTATTACCAAAATCTCGAAGTACAGTATTTATATAGGTTAATTGTTGTAGATAAACTATAGTCACTGTTGTTACATTCTATTAATTTCACCAGACAGGATTTGCCAACGAGATCATCAGAAATCAACTAAGCGTGAATATAACGCACTGTTAATTGGGTATACGGGTTTAAGCTTGATAATAATACACCTCATGGGATCTTTGGATTAGTAGTCCCTGAACCCTATTCTTTATTTATTTTACCTTGTAATTCAATAATGTGATTTAACAAAAACATCGCCTGATACAGGCTAAATTGGTATGTAATTACAAATTTTATATTTACTTGTAACTCCTTTGATGATATTTTAGTTAGAACTTCTACATTTATCCCTTCAAACTTGAAAAAATAGGTTGCATAAAATCAGAATCAGAATATGATGATTTTTCCTTTGACCCATGTATATTGTGGTTTAAATTTAGTTTTGGATATATCTTTTTTCAATAATCAATCTATTGCATTGAAATTCAATACACACACGTTTTTGAGGATGCTAAATTCATTTACTGCTACTGGGTTTCAACTACGTTAGTAGGTCATGTATAACCTTCGCCAGAATATTTTTTTTCTGATGGGGTTTTCTGCATTGCTTATGTCTAAAATTTAATTTATATAAAAAACGCATTTTTGGTGAAATTGCTGAAAATGCACTGAATTCGAGAAAAGCGCTAGTAATTATTGGATCTACAAAGGGACTGTATCAGAAACAAAAGACATTGCACAGTGGTATAGGTATACAAAATATTTTTCTCCTACCACCTCCTGAATTTATTGTCAATACCCTGATATTACACAGAGCGATGACTTTAAATTAATCTTATATGAATGTTCAGAAAAATGAACAAAAGTGTTATTGTTTTCTGCATTGCTTATTACTTTGTAAATTTTAATTTATATAAAAAATGCATTCCTTGGTCCATAGAAAATAATTAGTCTATTTTTGTCTGTGAATGTTCTACCAACTTCTGAATTTATTGTCAATACCCTGTATATTACATAAAGTTATGACCTTAAATTAATCTTACATGTATGTTGTTGTTACTATACATACGTGGGTAAATTTTACCCATAATTGTATTTTTTCAAATTTAATTTTTTTATTCTTACCTTAATCACGAGCTATATTCATCTACTAACAGAAAATATTTGGTTTTTTGATTTCAGATAAATTTTTTTTATAAAATATTGTTTAAATGTTGGTCTTTTTTATGCTTAAAAGTTTAAATAAAATAATTTATTATATTTAAAAAAAAAAATAGAGAAAATATGCATTTTTTAACCTTCGAAACTCAGGTAATCCCTTAAGGGACATCTTCTACTTTTCTATACAGGGTGTCCCGGTACTTGATACAAAAAAGTCGAGTACAAATAGATGAGGTCAAAATAATATTAATTAATATAAATTTTTTTCATACGGGCCTTCGTTAAAAAGTTACGGGCCCTCAAAGGTGAAAATTAAAAAGTTATTTTTATTTATTTATTTTCTAACTGAAACTTCATTATGCCCAGAACGCCAGGGACGGACTATGCCCAATGGTTAACAACCCAGAATTTTTGCATAGAAGACGATCAAAAATAAGTTCCCTGAAGAATTTGCCAACGATAATACCCTATTGGTTCAAGTCAGTAAAATTAACGATTTAGAAAATATTTGTCATTCTATGTCACAGTGCACATAGAGTGGCGCCTCCACCATTTTTTGTTTTAATTTTTAATTGGACATAATTACTACTAACACAAAATAGAAAACCAAACACACTTCCTAAGTCTACGAATGTTATTTGTTTGTACACGAAAAAGCATTTCTGGGGTAATAATTTAATAGGTCCATACAATTTTGAGAAACGTCTGAATGGACATCGATATTTGGAGTTTTTGTAAAATAATTTACAGCAACTATTAGACGATATTCCATTAGACACTTGAAGAAACGTTTGGTTTATGCACGATGCACCTTCCCATTTTAATATTGATGTACGAAATTATTTATCCATTGTGTTTAATAATAAATTGATCGGGAGAGGAGGCACAATTTCATGGCCACCACGTTCTCCAGACTTTAACCCGGTGGACTTCTTCCTGTGGGGATACCTGAAAAGTTTAGTGTACGAAATCTCAGTAGAGACAAGGGATGAATTGCTACAAAGAATTAACTTCCATTGTGATAATATTAGACATACCCCAGAAATGCTTTTTCGTGTACAAACAAATAACATTCGTAGACTTAGGAAGTGTGTGTAGGTGGTGCCCATATTGAAAATTTATTTTGATAGTTTTCTTTCTTTTAAATTATTTTTTGACTTATTTTAATTAATTCTTATTTTGTTTTTCTATTTCGTGTTATGAGTAAAGTGTATTTGTCAAATTTTGTTAGTGAAAATTATATTAGAAGATAGTAAGATTTTCTATGTTCTTATTTTAAAAATATGTACGGTTCTAATAAATAATTATGTACAATTAAAAATTAAATGCAATAAATGGTGGAGGCGCCGGTCAATGTGCACTGTGACAAAATCACAAATATTTTTTAAACTATTAATTTTACCGACTTGAACCAAGAAGGTATTATAGTTGGCAAATTCTTCAGGGAACTTTTTTTTTTATACAGGCAGATTGCGATCGTTGCAAAATATGAAGAACTGATATTATTTTGAGCACATCTATTATTACCCGACTTTTTTGTATCAAGTACCAGGACACCCTGTATACTCTGTTAGAACGATTTAGGATTAAAAAGGTATAAAAATTTATTGACAGATCTGCCGTTAATATTAAGGAAGTTAGACCTTAAAGAATATGCCATAATTTGTTTAGTAATTATCTCTGTAACTCCAAGAAAACATTTTAAGAATTTGCAAAAGTATATTGAGAGTTACATAAGAAAAATATGGTCGGTATTTATATTTTTTGAATGCCACTCTTAACTGTTTTTTTTTTATGGAGAAAATGAAATAAATGAGTGAATATCCCATGCTTTTCATTTTAGAGACAACGAAGTAACAGATGAGTTTTTGGCTATATCTTACTATTGTTTGTAGGCACTCAATTTTTTTATTACTGTAGTACTGCAGTTCTGAAAAAGCATGCTAATAATATGTGAATACGCAAGTTGTTGTATTTAAACAAGTTTGGTTTATATTTTTGAAATGCAACTTGTTGTTATTTCTCTATCTGTTGCCTTGAAATCGCGATCATATTTTTTTTCGGAGTACAAAACTAAAAGAGATAAGGAGGACTAACGTGTATATCCCTGTTCAGAGTTTTGTTTACGCCAAACACATAACTAATCAAGCTACACTAAACACAATGGTTTGGTATACAAGTGACTTACATGCATATCTAACTTATCTATTTCGGAAAGGACCCAGCCAACCGAACCGTCTCCACTACAAACTAATATTCGGAATGGATCAAAATGTCTAAACAGTCTTAGGCCGAGACGAGGGCCGGTTGAAATGAGATCAAAAACTTGTGCAGGATTAAGGAGTTGCTTAAATTTTCTTAAAAACTTTACGCCTTGGTTATCACCTGAAACAGAAAAAGTGTACTTTAATTATTAGAAACATAGAATAAGTGTAGTTATAAAAAAAATGTATAATTATGAGCTGTACATACATTTTTAACTAATTAAAGACAGTTCGGGAAATTCACATAATTATCAATAGTTTCAGAATTAAGAATATGTACAGATATACACAAATAAGTTTGCGTCTGAGCTTCGCGTGCAAATACGCATTGGACACGGCAAAGGAAACGTCCCATTCTAATTCGCAGCGACTATGTTTTATTCCTTCCAGTCGAATGCGTTTTTTCTCAACCTCGGGCAACTCTGGCCGAGTCAGAAACGCAAACTTATTTGTGTCGGGCTGTGATTAAAGATACAAATAAATTTTATGTAGCAAATACGTTAGTGTCTCAATATGTTTATTCATTTCAATCAGAGGAGTTTTAGATTGGACGAGAGATAAATATTGCTCCAACCATTTCGAAAGAGAGAATCTTCCAACTATTCGTGTTCAAAAATTAGAAATTTCGGATAGTTTCACTGTGAAAAGGTATTCTTGTATCATTTCGGTAGGCTACGGTGCAGCCTTGGAGTAAAATCGTTTTTAAAATTATGTTACATGTTGAAAATATGCGAAATGGAATTTGTTAACTTACAGTTCATGCACAATATGCCTTCAAAAAGATTGATAGTCACTTTATTTGCCCTGAACATGTAAAAACTTTGAAAACTGTTATTTTTTATTGTAATTTTGCCATCAAAATTGAAACAATTAAATAATTGCAGATATAGACATAAATAGTTCATTTAGGGAAGCAGTTGGAAAGAAAAGTTTTTATTTATAATTGGTTTGGTCTTACTTTATTAGTTTTCCTTAATTTTATATTTGTAAGTACTTTGTATGTTTGTGAAATAAGTATGTATAGTTTTTCATGTTTTTTTGGTCATTCTTAATTAATACGTAACAACTATACACCGTGTCCACCTAGTGCGCGTAGATCCAATATCTAGGTTAATAAAAGATATAACTTAATTTTTTTTACAGATTTGCCTACTTTCCCGAGCTGCACAAAATGAAAATATATTTGCATACCTATACAGAATGTTCAGTTTTTCCTGGGCAGATACCAACTTAATTTTTTTAAATGGAAACCTATATTTCTTATGGCATTATCGAATTCTACGTGAAAAATTAACGGGACTTTGTGTTATGATCCCTATTAAAATATTGACAGTTTTCGAGATAATCGACTTTTCATTTTTTTTT